AGCAGTGCAGTGATTCAACTCATTATATTAATAAGATAATGAGAATTCTTTCAATTTCAATACAAGATTTGAAGAATATTGAGAGGAATTAACTGATAATTTGAATCAATTAAAAACACAGCTTTATCTTACAAAGCTGACTCACAAGGTGCAGACAATGATATTATAATATCAGAGTTCATCAATTAATTGCACTGAGCTTGTCAACCTGACTTTCTGAATCTATTTGAATAATTAATTCTCTGAGAAAAAGACTAATAAGATCTCTTCTAAGTAATTAATAACAGGATCTAAACAGTGCTGTGACAGCTTCAGTGTGAAGAAAGTAAAAAAGAATACTAAGTATTCTGATTCTTCACTCACTGTGAAGAAATACTAAAAAAGATTTGATAAAGATCTCTGTTTCAACTGCAGAGCTAGTGATCACTATATCAGTGATTGTAAGAAGCTGAAGAAGAGAAGAAACTGAGAAGATATCTTCTCAAAGTTGACTTCTCTTCTGACAAATATATCTGTGAAAGATAAAGAAGAGAAAGAAAAGAATTGACAATTCTCACATCTCTGAGTTTATATTACAATCACAATATATACTCTGAGTAAGAAGATATCAGTGAGATGTCTACTCAACTCTAGAGTGAATATCAACTTCATATTCTATTTCTTTTCTTTAATAAAGAATTGAAAGAAGATAGATCTGTCAGATCATATAAAATTTACTGATGAAATAAAATGTCACTGTTTTAACATAATTCAAGTAAAGTGTGTGATCACAGACTCAGAAGAAATCTTTAAGAAGAGTAGTCTGCTTCTTCATACAGTTAACATCATAGATAAGAATATTATTCTAGATCTTCTGTAATTGAGAGAAAACAATTCTCTCATTGACTGAGTCACTCAGATGTGATGATATCACCTCACTAATGAAGAGACAGTGATAGAGAAACCTGAAGAGTTTCATCAGAAGAATCTTGAGAAAAAGATTGAGTTAATATACTGTATAGCAGGTGATTGAGACTTAAGAACAGATGAAGAAGTCATCACTCTTGCTGTAAGATTAGCAGCAGTATTCATCATTGAAGATGAATGTACACAATGTCTCTTTACAGATTTTAAGAATGTCTTTTCAGAAAGAGAAGCAGTGAAGTTTTCTGATATCAAGATATAATATAAGATTTATCTTGAAGACAGTGCAACAGTGCTGTACAGATCTCTTTACAACTTGTCTGTAAAGAAGTTGAATGTTCTATACAAATATCTTGAAGAAGTGCAATCAAAGAACTGAATATGTTTATCAAAGAGTCTGATAGAAGCATCTATACTCTTTATACTCAAGAAGAATGATAGACTATGTCTATATGTAGACTACAGAGATCTTAATAAGATGACAGTTAAGAATTACTATTCACTACTGTTAATTGATGAGATGATTGATTGATTATCTGAAGCAAAGATGTTCTTGAAGATTGATATACAGAATGTCTATCATAGAATCAGAGTTAATGAAGACAATATTTGAAAAACAGCTTTTCATACTAAGTACAGCAATTTTAAATATCTTGTTTTACCTTTTGATCTTTGTAATGCTTCAGTCATCTTTCAGATCTATATAAATGAGATGCTGTAAGGCCTTGTCAATGTCTTCTGTATAGTATATCTGAATGACATTCTAATCTTCTCAAAAACAGAGAAAGAATATGATACCCATGTTTGAGAAGTGTTGAGTTGCTTAAGACAGTATCAACTCTATACAAACACTGAAAAATGCTTGTTCTACATGCAGGAGATTGATTTCTTAGATTATATTGTTAAGATGAATGACATTTCAATGAACAGAAGCCAGGTCTTCATCATTAAGAACTGATCAATGCTGTGAATGTACTGTGAGATGCAGATGTTTCTAGAATTTGTGAATTTCTATAGATGATTCATCTATACATATTCACAGATTACTGCCTCTCTTACAGATCTGTTAAAGAGAAGTGTGAAAGACAGAAAAATAAAACTGTTTATCCTCACTCAAGACACTATATAGATATTTGCAGAATTGAAACAAGCTTTCACAGATATCATGATACTGAATCACTTTAACCCTGACTTACTCAGTCAGTGTGAGACTGACATATCTGAGAATGAGATCTGTGAAATCTTTTCACAGTTGATATCAGAGATCTTTCAATATTGAAAGAATCAGAGAATAATCACTTCTGAGAAAACAGACAATGAATTATCTGTGAAAGAAGGCTTTTTCATGAAGTCTATAAAACACTGTGAATGAAGATTAGTAACCTTCTTCTTTAAGAAGTTATCACTCACACAGAGAAGGTATGATACTCATGATCAGAAGATATTAGCAATTGTTGAATTCTTTAAGATCTAGTGATATTATCTTCAGAATAGTAAGTACTCAGTACAAGTTCTCACTGATCATGCAAATCTGCATTATTTCTTGACAACAAAGAGCTTGACAGAATGTCAAGCCAGGTGAGTGAAGCTGCTTTCAGAGTATGATTTCTATATCTGATATTATTCAGGTCAGCTTAATCTCACTAATATGTCATCTAGACAGCCTGATTATAATATTGTTGATGTGAAGAAGAATTCTATAAAAGAATCTCTGTCATCACTGCAGAAGAAGCTGGCTGCAGAGAGTTGAAGTTCTCTAAAGCTTGGAAACAGCACTGAAGAGGCAGCTGCATGACTCAGTATAGAAGATGAAAGAGAACTCAGATTCTCACAGAGAACTGATACTGAAGATTATGAGCTTCTTATATCACATCTTACAATTATTGAATTGATAAAGAATGAAACAGTCTACAATCTTTCAATCTGACTACTTTTAAAATTCATTGATAAGTTACAGAAGAAGAATGTCTCTACTACAGCTTGAATTCAGAAGTTGAAGTAGAAAGAGTCTGATTTGAACTTGAAAGAGACAGACTCTGAGTGAGACAGTGCTGCTAAGAAATCAAGTTACTGATAACTAGAAGAATATGAACTTCTACTACTGAATAATTCAGTCTTCATCTCTTGTAGTAGAGCAGTGTGTCAGAAGTTATTAAGAATTCATCATAATGATTCTCATACAGAACACTTCAGGTTAGAGAAGACTGAGAAGCTTCTAAAATGTAAATACACTTGAGACAAGCTCTGAGCAGATGTCAAAGAGTATATTGAGACTTATGATATCTGTCAAAGAATAAAGATTCTGTAACATAAGTAATACAGTAAGTTAACATCACTGTCTATTTCAAAGAGCTTATAACAGAATCTATTAATGAATTTCATAGTTGATCTGCTGAAGTTGATAAGAGTTAAAGAATATAACTTAATTTTAATCATTGTTAACTACTTTATAAAGATAATCAGATATATTTCTACTTATAAAAAGATTAAAGTCTCTGAATTAACTGACCTGTTTTTAGATATCATTATTCATAATCACAGTGCTCTGAAATTATTGATAACAAATTAAGAATTCCTCTTTATCAGCAAGTACTGATCAGCTTTTTACTATTATCTTATAATAAGATGTCTTCTCAGTACTGCATTTCATCTGCAGACTGATAATCAGACTGAATGTCAGAATCAGATACTAGAACAGCATCTTTAAGTGTTCTGTTTATATTATCAGAATGATTAGCTTAAACATCTTCTGACTGCTGAATTCATATATAATAATACAAAGAATGCAATTTTAAAGATATCTTCTTTCTATGCTTATTATAAATATAATTCTTTGTTATTCAGTGATATCACAGACAACATTTCAAAGAGAGAAATAAGTAGTCAGAATATCAGATAGATACAGAGAATAAAGTATCTCTCAGTATCAGAAGTAAAAGTGAGATTGAAACTTTTAAATAAAATTCATAAGAAGACAGTGAAAAGTATTCACTACACTTAGAAGTAATAGATAGAATACTATAATTGAAAACATCTTCTGATAAAGTTCTTGATAGAGAATCAAGTGCTACTTTCAGTAAAGAATATCAAGATAATAAGACTGTATAAGAAGCTCAGTGAGTAGTGACTAGAATCTTTTCTAATAATAAGAGTAATGAGTAAGTAGACATATGAGTTGAAATTACTCACAGAATTGAAATCAATTCATTCTATTTTTCACATTTTCTATTTAAAGCTCTATAAGCAATGTCTCAGAGTGAAGCCATCTCAGTCAGATAGTATCAAGATTGAGAATGATACTGAATATCTTATGAAGAAAATATTAAATAAGTAAATATATTATAGCAAGCTTCAATATCTTATTAAATAAGAAGATTATTTATTATCAGAGAATTCATAAAAACTGCTTAAGCATTTGAAAAATGCTGAGAAAGAGATTGCAATCTATGAGATAGCTAGTAAAGACTGTCTTATTACACATCAGAGATATTGAGTAAGAAATACTGCTTAAGACTTCTTATTTTTCTTAAAGAGTTTTTTAGAGATAATCTTACAGTGATGAGTCAGTGTTTTGTAAGCTCTGTAGTACTCTTCTTCTATTTTCTCTCAAAGGGTTTTTTAGAAGTTTAATAAGACTACATAAGTGTAAAATTCTGAAGTGATTAGAGAAAAGAGATATTTGAAAACTAATAAAAAGATTAATATTAATTGACTCACAGACTGCTGCTAATTTAATGAGGCCACAGCCTGCTGAAAAAGTAAAAAGAGAGATCTCAGAGTCTACTCATCAATAATCACATCTTCATTAAACTCATTCTTCACTGTTAAAGTCTCTGACACTGATATCTTTATCTACTAAGAAGTTAGCACTGCAGTACTACAGAGAAGCATGCTGTAGAAGAGTATAAGAGATACTGAAAGTATTAACTTACTAACTTACAAAACATCTTGATTATCTGCTTTAACTGAAGTGAGATTCTCTTCAATCAGTGATTGATCTCTGTGACACTTTCAATGATAGTACTGGCTGACTTCTTCTTGAGATCAGTCATTCTGAGGTGTTTTTTCATCTCAGAGATTCATGCTTTCATCTTCTTTTACAGATGAGCAAGAGAGATCTCTCCAGCCTTGATAGAATTCATTAACACTTGAAGCTCTGAGACTCTTGCTCTGTACTGCTTGAGCATCTGAACTTCTTATCAGAGTCAACACAATGTCTTCTTATAGAGTAGATAATACTTACAGAGAGACAGAAGTCATTGTTACAGATGCAATGAAAACAATGAGAGTGAGAGAAGAAGCAGATACATAGAATCCCCTTCTTCTTCAACTGCTTGATACAGTGTAGACAAGTAGCAGTGCTGGCCAGAGGCTGCACTGGAGCCTTCTCACAGAGAGAAGATGAAGGAACTGCAGGACTCTGCGGACCCAACCCAGCAGCATTCTGAGCAGGGCTCGGGCGCGCCATGGGAGGGGAACTATGAATTGGGCTCCTCAGAGTCACTGTCCCTGAAACCAAGCTCTCCCCAGGGTCCTCTCTGAATGATCACACGGGGTCATACATCACTGTGTTGGTTGGGGGGGGCGGCGTCGCAACAGCGGCGGGGGGGGCAGGGGATGAACTGGACACAGACACACCGGCTGGCAGAAGGGATGATATCCCACTGCAGGGCACAGCAACTTCCGCCGCGGCTGCAAGAGAAGCAGGAGGAGGTGTGGCAATGAGAGCAGTGCTCCCGCGGCTCATTGACACTGCCACCTTCAACCTGGCTTTCTTGACAGCCACGAAGGCCGCCGCCGCACCATGAAGATGTTTACTCACTAGAAAATGTCAGAATAAGCCCTTTATTATCCTTCAAGAATGATACTCTCATGCACTCACTATTACAATTGAGGAGAAGGAAAGAAAAATGTTTCACAGAGAAGAGAATCTTTTCAAAAAATCCTGTCACTACTGTTAGCTTTGTCTCTAAAATACATCACTTTTACAGAGAATTTCATACATAGAATAGAATATGATGAAAGATCTGTAAGTCACTTGTTAACTATGTTTTTCACATTTTAAATTGATATATAAGAAACTCACTTATCATGTATTTGATTTGAATAAAGATGAGCAAAGAAAGATTTATACAGTCAGCAGAAAAACTCATCTATTTCTTTGTATCACACACAGCACACACACTGTTAAATGATTGATAACTGTTGTTATATAACAAAGATAATTCCTAATTCAGTAATCTTGAGAGCATAGAGACTATGTTCTTAAAGAGAAGAGTATTGTCATACTTCTGACTGTGTCAAGATCTCATTGCAGTTTCACACAGCTCATTACTTTCATATGAATAATTTCATTCTATCTGAACCAGTTTTCAACCACTCTATGACATCATTCAGATGTATCATAGAAAGATCTGATTGATGAATATGAGAATCTCACTTTTATACAAGATTAGCAGATTACTCTTTCTTGATAATGAGGCACTGCTGAGGTATCACTCTGACTATTCTCACTTATGAAATGAGAGAAGAGTATCTGCTCATTGTCTATATAGAATAACTAGATACTGACTTCTCATTAAAGAAGTCAGTGATTTGTTTTTCTTCTACTGAAATATATATAAGAGTTACTGCATGTCTCATACAATCTTCTTAGTATACTAAGTATCATATCTGTGATATTCTTGTAATAACCTTGTAGCCTACAAGCTCACTATTTAAGCAAGATAGTTAAGCTCACTTATACAGCTTTTCAAACAACTACTTCTACATGACACTGCTGACTAGTCACTGCTTCGGTTCCGTCACGTTACACTCTTCAGAGTCTTGATATTATAGAGAATATAAGTCTGTTTCTATATAATAATGTAAATATTATCAGCAGAATGTAGAGAAACTGATTATTTATATCTCAAAATAGAAGACTTTGTCAATGATTATATCAATATAGAGTTAATTCTCAAATTCAATAGAAATCTAGTATTGCTGTGCTCAATCTCTTGCAGAATCTATTGAATATTGAGATATTAAAACTAGATTTAATATATCTCACTGTGCAGGGATCAAAGGCTCAGTCAGATCTTGAGATATACTGATTTTATAGTTGTCATGTCTGCTGATTATGTATTGAGTACAGTTGCTGAGGTATCTTTTTGTACTTTTCTGTCGGGGATGGGCCAGATTGAGAGAGGTGGTATGAGGGTGAGACTTGGTGTTGATGTCTAGATACACTGAAGACAGACCGCGGAGATTGCACTCCAGAAGTGGCTGTTGATTATGTGCTTGATATTATCACTGAGGTATCTTTTTGTATTTTTCTGCTGGGGATGGGCCAGATTAGGAAGGGCGGTACGAGGGTGGGACTTGGCGTTGGTGTTTTGGAACATCAAAGATGGACAGGGTTTTCGCGGAGGTCGCTCCTCAGATATCTCCACAACTACAGATCAGGGATCTTCCAAAATCGAGAAGATTGATGCATATGGCTAGGTCTCTTCACCTTACAATTTGTATGGCACTTTGGCCCGGGGTTGTGATGTGGTAGGGGAGAATGGGGGATAATCCCACACAGGAGTTTCGAACAATGTCTGATTCATGTTTGGCTGGATAACTCCACCACCACACGGGGTATGCAGTCGGCGATGGGGTCAAAATGCTCGTATGATCGAGGGCTTTTCGATGGATCTATCAGCGGGTTCTTATTCGAAAAATCGAGCGAGTTCGTGGTGGAGCGGTTGACAAACAGAGTATATAACAAAGAGATTAAGAAAAAAAGTCTCTATTTCATCTATTTTAAATTAGAATATCTCTGTATAAACTGTTCTGATAAACTAAAATAGAAATTTGAGAAGTTATAAACAGAGTCAGTAACTATCTTCTTAAGAGTTTTAGAGCTAATGCCTGAATCTGTTACTCTCTTAATAAAAATACATACTTATAGAGAGAGATCATACTGCAGTACTACTACTCTATATATATAAGAAATATTAATAAACTCAGAATCTCAGATTACTGTAGTGTTTCTAAAGATCACAGAGTAAATAAGCTGAGTATTAAAAACTGAGAATCTGCTCTTATAATAAGCAGAATGTAAGAACTCAGATCTGAGAACTGAGAGACTTATAAGAATTATCTCTGAATTATAAGATCTCTCTGAAACTTGAAGAAGATTTATAGAAACTGTAATTATTACAAATATCATAGATAATATATACTTAAGACTTGTATAACTTTAAAGACATAATTCATACATAGCTGTCTAAAAGTCAGGTTTATACTTTTAATCAGTATTAATAGACTTACTTATAAAGATAGAATCAGTTAATACTATAGAGTTAATTAGAGAAGATAAGCTTATCTATATAATAACTTTATAAATGTCTGAGAACTTCACAGTCATGAAAACTGAGCTTCAGATATTATTGAAATACTCAGATTTTACAGAGATATTGTGGCGGGCTGCGCCCGATCAATTATATAGACTATTCCATTACACTTCACAGATTCTACATACACTCTGATCCTCAGCCATTCTTGATTGCCAATTCTCAATCATCATCTCAATCAATCATATAGACTATTTCATTACACTTCACAGATTCTACATACACTCTGATCCTCAGTCATTCTCAATCACCACCTCAATCAATCATATAGACTATACTGTTACACTTCACAGATTTCATGTACACTCAGATCCTCAGCCATTCTCAATTGCAGATCCTCAGTCATTCTCAATTGCCGACCCTCAGCCATTCTCAATTGCTGATCCTCAGCTGCTATGAACATGTATATGTTCTTCTGCCCCGAAGCTCCACCGCGTACGCCCACCACATACACATATAAATATCCACCTCGATCGCCGATTCTTGCACTTTCTCTTTCTTTCCTTCTCTAGCGTTTTTATCTTTGTTATATAAGACCTATCTATTATACCGATCTATTCGGCGTAGCCCCCTTACACTATAAAAACGCTCATTGTCTCCTTATTAGGAAACAATTATCCACGCATCGTCTCCTCATCAGGAACGATTATCCATCGAGAGATATCCGAACGCGTAACGACGCGTAAGAAACAGTCAAACAGTTAAGCGGACACCGAGTCCCCAGATAGAAGCTTGCTCGCCAGTCGCCCTGGCCCCGCAACAAGATCTTACGAAGAGAATAAGATCTTACAAGAGAACGTCAGCGAAAGACCCGAGAGTCCTGACACCCAGACGAACGATTATCCATCAAGAGATACCCGAACGCGTAACGACGCGTAAGAAAGAGAAAGTGCAAGAATCAGCGATCGAGGTGGATATTTATATGTGTATGTGGTGGCGTACGCGGTGGAGCTTCAGGGCGGAAGAACATATACATGTTCATAGTGACTGAGGATTGGCAATTGAGAATGGCTGAGGATCAGCAATCAAGAATGGCTGAGGATCTGCAATTGAGAATGACTGAGGATCTGAGTATACATGAAATCTGCAGAGTGTAACAGTATAGTCTATATAATTAATCAGAGTGATAATTGAGAATGACTGAGAATCAGAGTATATATAGAATCTGTGAAGTGTAACAGAATAGTCTATATAATTGATCAGAGTGGCAATTGAGAATCAGTAATTAAGAATGACTGAAAATTGAAGTATATATAGAATCTGTGAAGTGTAATGAAATAGTCTATATAATTGATCAGATACAGCTTATTACATTAGTCTCTTCTTTTCAGAAGCAGTTCTCATCAGTTAAGAATCACTGTTTCAGATAACACAGAACTCAGAGTTCAGATCAGTTGAGAAGAGAACAGATCAGTGATAGTATAATAATAGTTATAACAGATCTTCTATCTTATATTATTCAGCAGAGTCTCAGTGAAGAGTATTTAATAAGAGAATACACTGAAGATTATAATGTCTTATAACTGAAGATTTTATCATTGTATAGTGACTTCTCTTCAAATTATTGTTATTCAATCTCTTCAAGCTTCTGTTTGTGAATTTGAACAGAAGCTAATCTTTTCCCTGTTTCATTGAGGCATTCTCATAGTTATCTTCTGAATCTTTCTCTAATGTAACATGACTGATGTGAACAGAAGCTGATTCATTCTTTGATCTTTCTCTCAAGTGTGTATATGTTCTTCCGCCCCGAAGCTCCACCGCGTACGCCATTACATACACATATAAATATTCATCTCAATCACTGATTCTTGCACTTTCTCTTTCTTTTCTTCTCTAGCGTTTTTATCTTTGTTATATAAGACCTATCTATTATACCGATCTATTCGGCGTAGGCCTCTTACAGATATTAACTTCAGCTAAGACAGCTAAGCTTCTATCTTATTATAAGAAGAATCTGATAATAAATTTAATAGAAGAGTAGAAACTCTTCTGAGAATTAATCTATAATCTCTTTTATTATAAAACAGAAGCTTGATAAGCTTATGTAAAGAAGAATCTGAAGAATAACTTTATTCAATTTTCACAGATCTCTGTAGAAGTATCTGTAATATTGATAAAGAAGAAGAATAAAGATTTTACATTATGTATAAATAATTATAATCTGAACTTCAAGACTATAAAGAGTTACTACTCTCTATCTCTGATTGAGAATTTGATTAACTGTCTCATAGAAGCTGTTATATTCATACAACTGAATATAATCAATATATATATACAGCTGTAAATACACTCTGAGAAAGAATAAAAGACTGTCTTTAGAACTGTATTAAGATTATTTGAATATCTAGTAATATCTGTTGATTTAACTAATACTCTTACAGTATTTCAGTCTGTTATTAATAAAATACTTTATATATATCTGAATGTCTTTATAATAATATATCTGAATAATATAATGATGTACTTCATGAAGAAGAAAGAACATACTAAGTATATATAAACTATGTTAAAGACTCTAGATGAGATAGAACTGTTTCTTAAGCTTATAAAGTATAACTTCAGTACTCACTGAATTAATTTTCTAGAATATATAATCACTGTAAATAATATTCAGATGAAATCTTCACAGATTGAGACTATTCTATTATGACTGAAGTTAACTAGTATTTATAAGATTTAGATCTTTTTGATCTTTGTGAATTTCTATAGAT